AAATTTCCCTATTACCCAAAAAAATAATTTTTACCCCATTTTGGGTAATTTACCCCGGTTTAGTATTTAGTATTGATTTCATTGCTCTAAAGTAGAATCTTAATAGTACAAGGTGACAGAACTTGTTGATTTTTGAAATGTTATATACACAAAGTTCATAATTATTACATACTGACAGTTTCAATGCATTATTTCATTAAGAACAAATTGCATAAATTCAGGTTGGAATCATATTGATAATGTTATTTCTAACTTCAACGGTTAAATGTTTTTTTTATTGTTTCGTTCCGTTTTCATTTTTGACGCCCTCTCTGCGTTCTGCCCAATTCCATGTCACAGAGTTGACTGTTTTTGTTTGCTAATTGGTAGCCGGACGAGGCTGACGTGTCACTTTATAATTTAAAGCGAGCAGCCCCCCAATTTGACCTGCATATTCCTCCGGTACACATACATAGAGTATGGAGATAAATAATAAACGCACTTTCCTCCGGCTCGTCCCACGACCTAACATCCCCATCCAAAACTCTGGAGACCCACCAACAGCTTCCTCCGGCGAATCGATAGCATTGGAGCGCGTTTAAAGGTTAAGCGATATGGATTATAAACACACTTCTGGGTCATCTAAATTTAACGTAACTAAATATAATTTGAAACTGTAATTAAATTACAATTTCCCTTCATGTCATCAATATTTGTTAATATATGAATAAAATCATCTACATTCGGTCTCTTTTTATGCGGTTTTTATTTCAAGAAGCATTTTTTTAAATAACTATTTTAGGCCATTTTGACACGTTTTGACACAAATTAGCAAACCATTTCATTGAAAATGATGATAATTCTGAACCAGTATTCAAGTTTCTACGTGAGCTTCAGAATTGCATTTCTGGATATCAGGAATTGTACAAAAAAATAGCAAAGCCATCGCAAAGTTTAATCATTGATTATATTGTCAAAGTGAAAAAATCAACATGCGAAGTTGAGACTAATTTTACTTCTCAAGAATCATTATCTTCAGGACATAGATCTGATATGCTGACTGTCTCTTCTAGTGATGAAAGTGATTTCGAAATAGTTCGCAAATTATACCGAATACTCTCATATAGCGACGATAATTCTAAAGTAAAAATTGTAAAGAAAGATTAACTTTCATAAAAATTTTCTGTATTTTTTTTTGTAAAAATTTTCCGTATAAATTTAGAAGGAATATGTTAAGATTATATTTTTCTGAAATTTAATAAACTTGTCTATGATTGTTAACGTTTTTATAATATTATGAATAAACTTTTCAGAAAGAAATAAGATAGTAAGACTAATTATTTTTCTGAAATTTAACAAACCCTTTTTTATGCGATTTTCGGTATATTGTAACTCATTGATTTAGTTTTATGCGATTTAAAAAAAATATGGAACGTATCCTTTATTTTTATACGTGCATCTAGTCCTTTTTTGTGCGATTTATTTTTATGCGTTTTCCTGTGGAACGTATCTACCGCATAAAAAGAGAACCAGTGTGCTATAATTTGAAAACTAATATATTTCTTGTCCTTGAAACTCTTAAGAGTAAAATACAAATGTGAAACAGAAAAATACAAAATAAAAAAATAATATAAATATCATAAACCAAAAAAAGTCAACTGCTTCAAAGGGCTATTGACCATAGGTCTTTCTGCCTTAAACAACGACAATATTAGATCTACCATTAAGCCTGAAAATCATCGAAACTGAAAGACCTTGCGCATCCGCTATAGCATCCATCATGTTCTGTCGGCTCACATTTTCTTACACGAAACAAATCAATACAAATATTGTAAAAGACTGAACCAAATATAGCACTTTCACATATATTTTTTTAATATTTATATTTTTATAAACATTAGATTATGACAGTTGGATTAAAAAAAAAAACCATTCATAACAATTATGATCTTTATAAAAGTGCTATTAAAAAACAAAACAAAAAGTAATTATATAAATGTTAGATTTTATTACCTACATACTTCTTTTTTTGCTTTCTTAATTAGCGCAAAAAGTAGCTGAATTAAAAATAATACAATTAATCATAAAGTTGGGCAGAAACTTCTTCAGCAATTGCCCGGAGAAGTGAAAAAGAAAGGCCCTTGATTATTTTTTTTCTTCTCCCTTCCCCCCAAAGGAATGTGATTCAAATATATTTCAGTGGTTTTTGTTAGGGTGGCGGGATGTGGTTTCTGTTCGAGGAGGGGATCCAAAGGGACCACAGAATAAGAAGAAGAATCACCAAGGACCTAAAGGATTGAACCCCTTGCCGTATCTGAGGCACGTACTGTGCTTGCGGCGAGTATGATAATTGGGGCTGATTGGGGTTTCATTGACGGTCGCACCGGAACCATGGGGCGCGCTTTCAATGCCACCGCTAACTTCCGGCTTAATCATAGGTTGCTGCGTGATTGATGGATGCGCCTCTTAAAAGAAGGGCGAAAGTTGATGTGGAAGGAAGCCGCCTCGGTGTTTTCATTAATGGTGCGTACGAACGCGGAAAGGATTCGCGCAATTATAATAGGGCTAAAATGTAAAGAACTAATGAATATGATTGATTTAAACCGATTACGTTAAGGCGATCAAGTATATTATATGCCGGGGGAGTAGAAGCTTTGTCTTTGTCCCTTATTAGGCGCGCGCCACCTCCTTCCTACTCCTTCGCTCCCAGTGAAATGGCATATCAAATGAGCTACTTTTGCGCTTAAATTGATCAAAAAGTAAATATTTATGGGATCCTTCTTCCTACCTTGCCGACTCCGGTGATTTCCTTGACGCCGATTCGTCGGAGTAACGCCGGCGGCACTGGCGGAGGCGACCTCTGCAACGTCCCACAGAAACCCGTCGAATCATCCTCGGAATTTGTCCGTTTCCTACGGTGTGGAGACGAAGACAAATTCAATTTTTGCGCAGCCCTAGAACATAAAAAAAAAACAATATTAAATCAATAAGTCATAATAGAAATAAAATTTAGAAACCTTGAATACTTCAAATATAATATTTACATATGTCTTACAAGATTTGATGAGATTCTGTCAGGTAGAATGTTTCTTCATATGTCATTGAATATTTTATGATGGTTTGAGATTGTAGGTGTTTTGATATATGTGAATCTTATATTTTACAAAATCTTCAAGAAAATGCATTGAAGATCATTTTTAAAAACATTATAAAAGAATTATCAACTTTGTGTTAATTGATATACTTCATTTTAATTAATATTCAATGAGTTTTTTATTGGCTGGTATAATATAATATTATCGGGTATAGAGTAATTGAAGGCACAAGCGTTTGAAGTGTAAAGCAGTTGAGTTAAAGAAAACGAATTAATTGTATACCGGAAACCGTAAATAGAATGATATTTTATGATACTTCCTTTGTGAGTATGCGCGCGCCAACATGAAACGCGTTTTGCGGTAAAACATTATTTTGTCGAGAATCCCCGCATCATTTTACTTCATTTGAAAAGGCACGTCTGTAACTTCACTCGCAGCTTGTCAAGACGTCTCCTCTCGTGCAAATTGAAAGATGGATGTTTCGAGCAGGCTCTTGACTTGCGCTCCCAACAGTACGTACGCCTTGCGAAGAGAGTGTGTAAGAAAGAGAAAGAGAGAGTCTTTCCCTAGCGTCGCGATGTTAATCATTCCGTTCAGTCGAAGAGCAAATGCATTATTTATACCTATATATACACGCACACTTCCCTTTTCGGCCTTATTATTATTATTTCGCGCCAGGCTTAATTTGCTTCAGGTTCGAACCACCCTCTGTTTTTCTTTTATTTTACGCCCTTTCCTATACACCTCTTCCTCTCCCCCACGTCTCACCGTCAGTAATTCCGTCTCCTCTTTTACTTCCTTTCCACACAAGATGGATCGGCTCTACCGTTTACTTGACTCTCTCGCCCCTCGTGCAAATTTGTCCTACGCTGCAGCACCTGAGTCCCAGACAATTGCATTATTTTTTCCTTTCTTCAACGACACCACCTACGGATATAATGCCATGATCCCTCTTATATCTGTCTTCATAAATTTCCTGAACCTTCTAGCACAAAGACCAAGCGAAAAGGGTGCTCAAATTATCTGAAATTGATATATATTTTTTGTAAACAAACTGAAATCCGGTTTGCTTCTTTATTATGCCCTTTTTATAAATTGTCATTAATTCTCAACGAGCTCTATCACTTTATCTATTATGTAATATTTATTGTTAATACTTTCAAATTTATTTGTTAGGTCGACTAAAATAGTTGTGTTAAAGTACTGTAAAGTTTACGCATGATATTCAGAAATATTCATAAACTTTTACAAATATATTTTTTTATTATAACTATAATAATATTAATGTGTGTGTTTTTAATTTAACTTGAAATTTGAATAGTGGAAGATCTGTACATAAATGAATAAACTTTCTTTATGTAATAGTAGTAGATGCATATGGGAAACATGAAAATTAGTTTACAAAGTTCTGAATATATTTTATTCTTTCTTGAAGGCAAACTTTCTACGAGTTAAATAAAATTTCTGGTGAATAGCATGCAGTTGTAATTGGGTTCACGTGTTCTTGCGTCGACATGTGTGTGTGTGTGCGGTGGTATTTTTTGTGGGTTCCATTAGGGGTGTGCAAAAGTTGTAGTTGCGGAGGGTTGGCGGTCGTAAGCTTTTGGAATAACACATTTCCCGATGGAAGTTTTAGGAATGTAATATTTTGACAGGATCCTCTCCAAACAGGCGGGATTACGTATGGACGTCACGAGCGGCGAAACGCACCCAGCCACCCTCCTGGAGGTTTGGAAAAGGACTGAGCCGCCTTCGCTGCCTAGGCCATCCAACCCGCCACCAACCCTCGACAACGAACTTCTTGTCACGTGGCGAGACGCGTTCGTTCCGGAAGCAGAGGCCTGTGAAATTGGAAAATCTGAGGGGCGGTGGCGAGCGCGACTTTTACTTTTGCCACCTAGGTTAGCGTTGAAAGTTGCGTCTCCGAACCAGAATCCGTGTTTCATTAATTCATTAAATCAGCAGCCGCGAATAAATCAGAAGGAGACAAAGTTTTATCAGCAAATAAAGAGAGTTCTGGGTGAGTTGAATTGATTAAACTGGTGGTGGTGGTGAGTTGCGTTTTCGTATTCGCTCTCGTTTTCGTTTTAGGTATAATTCCGTTGATGAATGATATTTATTTCAGGGTTGGCTTTCCACGTGCCAACGATACAGGTGTTGATAATGTCATTCGCTGCTGATTGATCGGTGCGCGCTCGCGACCCCAAACCCAAAACTCTTTGCGTCTTGCCTCCACCTAAAACCTATCCATCTCCATATCTCCAACTATTTACATTATTCATTCCTCTATTTTGACATTCATATTCATTACCGAACCTCGTCGACTCCCTCTTGATAACGTTCTCTCTATACTTTAACCGATTTAATTAAACCATTTTTCATAAAAACTTTATTAATTACACGCGCCGAATATTTCATTTTCCGCTCAACGCACGGATACATTAATTACTTAAACAAACAAAAACAATTTTCCGGAAAAAAATAAATAAACTCACGAATTAAATGTAATTCTTTCCCAGGCTCGGTCATTAATTTTCCATTTATCATCATAAACGTAAAGTCCATAATATTTAGACTTATTTACATTTTTCAATTTTAACATACAATTAATTATAAAAAAATAGGAAATAGTTTAAATTTAAATAATTGCATGAAGATCAAAGAAACAAGATCAGCTCTTAAGAAACATCCCGTATCCGAATCCTTCTGTATTTTAATATAACATTTCTCGAGCTTATGCAAACACAACGTGTAAACAGAAACAGTTTTGAGTATACTACATTGTTCATTTCTACATGTATAGTCCGCATCATTGGGGGGAGGTCTCATTCGAGAAATTTAATAACAAATTCAATAAACTACTTCAAAGAGAAAAGCTCTCAGATTCTCTAAGATGAAATATATACGAAAAAAAAAAAGGGATAATTTAATGTGTTTGTATACGGCTTAGGGATGTTAAGCAGATCTAAGATATGGAATGTAAAAGAGGAAATTTCAATAATAGATGGATTAATGGCGAATTTGTGGATTCGCGTGGCAGAAAGAAGGCTTGAGCCGTGTGGGTTCCCCAACTCCCTAATTAGAGGCCATAATTAATGACATTAATCATTTAGCCATTTCATGCGTGAATCAAAAGCGCGCGCACTTTTTATAATTAAACAATTTCCTCGTCCTAGCCCTAAGGGAGGACTTCATTCATAACAGAATTAATTAAAAAGAAATCGCACCACCATTGCCGCCGCGAATTATGCATGGGGCGGGTGAAATAATTTTTCTAATTATATAATACGGAACCTCGAATAAATAACATATATTTTTTCAACAAAAATATTTATCTTGGAAATGCGAAATTGGATTGTTATTATTTTTATGGTTTCCTTTTTAGCAGAATGTAATTATGTTGTATGCATATGCATGTTAATGCGTCGTTTTCCTCCAGTTCGCTACTTTTTCCGTTGCAAATTCGCCGCGTGTTTTTTGATGAATGGCAACAATGGCGCCCACAGTAGTTTTAATTACGCAATGAAAAACAGAGAGACCGACCACTCGTAAATAAGGCTTTTGGAAAAAGGAGGAAATATTTGCCGAGTTATCGGCACTGTCATACAAACGTTCACACGCATAGATACAGTGTGATTGTGCACGGCGGCCGCCGGTTTCTTTGGCTGATTTACTACCGATCCTGAGCTTTTTTGCAGCTCATTGTTTACATATTTTTCATGTACGTAATGCGAAGTGTAACATGCGAAACACGGAACGCCTTTTGTATGCAGAAGGCTTCCTCTAGCCTTCACACAGCGTTGCGTAATTAATTTAATCCATTTAGACGAAGCTTCAAAATTCTACCGGCATTCCATTTAATTTAATGCATTCTAGCATCCACAACAACACAGTGTATAATGCATACAATTAATGTTAAGAAAACTTAAAAGTTCTTACAGAATAGTAAATGTAACGCTGGATCAATGTTTGAAAACATATAAATATCAACTCACATACATCTAATGTTGTATACATATCATGAAAGTCAGGCAACTACTATTGATTGTAGTTCAAAGGTTATAATTAATGATAGATAACGTAGCTGAAAATTGTGTTAAAGTGAATGAAATATTTTATTCGAAGAGAGAGGATGAGTGTAGTTAAAACATGGGCCGACGTGAAAATTTGCTTCGTGTCCTTTTATGGGATCCCGATGGAATTGGGTAAAAGGTGAAGGTCCGTAACGATTGCGGCGGTCGTAGATCATGGAAATTTGACGTCTCGCTTCGCACCTGGTTATTTGCATTGCGCGATGCTCGTATAGCTTAAAAGCTCTATTATACGTTGCCATTTAAGTCCGCATCGTATTTTACGGATGTAAATGACTTATGCGATCCTTCCAGGTATAATGCATACACGTTCATGCATACATGTATACAAGTATACGCGCGCACATACACACACCGGCAGCTCATACATGCCGGAGATACCGGCTACAATGACCGATCGTTGTTGGAGTCCCGTCAGGTCCTGCGACCTACATCCTTAGGCTGATGTATGGAAACCGAACAGCAAGGCACTGTACGCGCGGAAATTACATATAAGGAGCGAAATTATTTATTACACACAAATTACGGGACGCTTACGATATACCAGCTTCGCGATTAAACTTTATTACGATCGCCGCTGATAATTTCACCCTGATAAATGACTCGATTCGGGCCAAATTAACCCAATTTTATTTAATATGCGAATTATATAATAACGCCACCACCGTCACTCCTTCCTGTTTCTGCTGACGCAATTTGCATTCGCATTTGTATTGCCAAATCCACCGAGCCATTTGTTTCTTCGGCTTCATTACGTCTGTCGTTTTA